ATGTACTGACCCCAAACTTTTGAACTGTAGTGTATATTGTTAGAAAATATTTCGATTTTAAATAAATGCTCTTCTTTTTAAGTTTTTATTCATCAAAGAATCCTGAAATAAAAGTATCACAGATTCCAAAAAAATATTAAGCAGCACAACAGTTTCCAGCACTGATAAAAAAATCAGCATATTAGAATAATTTCTGAAGGATCATGAGACACTGAAGACTGGAGTAATGATGCTGAAAATTCAGCTTTGCATCACAGGAATAAATTAGATTTTAATGTATATTAAAATAGAAAAACGTTATTTTACATCATAATAATATTTCACAATATTACATTTTTTCCTGTATTTTTGATCAGATAAATGCAGCCTTGATGAGCATAAGAAACTCTTGTAAAAAAAACATTAAAAATCGTTCTGATCCCAAACTTTTGACCGGTAGTGTGTGTGTGTGTGTGTGTGTGTACGTATGTACGTGTGTGTTTAAAACTGTCAAAATACAAAAAAAAAACACAATGGTGACAAAAAGAAAAAATAATTAATTAAATCAAAGACAATGGCATTAAATGAATCTAACAACAATGAATGAAGCGGTGCATGTTGCTGATGTCTGAGGTTGTCCGTTCAATTATAAATCTCTCTCTGCGGGGTCTCTGTCCACCCACCAGGTTTAATGTGGCTTTGTTAGAACATGCGTGTTTGTGATCTTTGAGTCTGTAATCTGTTTAATCTGTGTTCTTGTGATCTGTTGATATGTTTTTTTCTTGAATTGCTCAGAGGGTTTCATTGTTAATGGAAGGATCAGAGAAATGTAATGGATCAGAGAAAAAAGAGAGGTGTGTGTGTGTGAGTGAGATCGAGACGGGCAGTTTAAATGAATTAAACTCAATCTCTCTTATTCATTTCCACTCATAACCCCTCTTCTCTGAGCTGGGATTTGATTCTCTCAGGTTGTATTAAATTGACTTTGTAGATTTGAGTGAGAGAGTGACAACGTGCACACACACACACAACCCATTTCTGCATGTTTTTTTTCACTGTCGTTATGAGCAAAGATATCTGAGCCCTTCCTGTTCACATGTGAGCTGATGACCATGGGGCCACTGCCCGTGTCTCTGGTCTCCCAGCGCAGCGAAGGAGCCCCTGTGTAATCAACATTCCTCCTGACGAACTTTAGTTGTGTCAGTGCGTTTGTGTCTGTGTGTGTGTGTGCACTCTTGCTGAGTTGACTATGAGCCCTGTAGGGAATTTTAAAGAATGAACATTGCAGAGGCCAATTAAAGCAGCCAAACGCACACAGAGGGTAAACATCTGACTAATCCCACAGCATTCATGCTGAGAACTCACACACACATGCATACACACACAAGTTTAAGCTCATTATCAGCATTCCCTGGCACGCTGCGTGGAAAAAAAGCACAGATTAAGAAAAACCAAAGCGTCAGAAACAAACTCGCAGCTTACAGATGGATAAAGGGAGTGTGACACCACTGCTAATTAAAATAAATAAATGAGTAAAGAGGAGCAATGAGTGGTTGCAGAATTTAGATGTGCTACTGGAAAAAGGCCACCTCTGTGGTTTGGAAAGTAGATTGATTTCAGTTACAAACGGCATATTGTACACTTTTGATACGCATTTAGTTTTATCTCATGTTGAGTGATAATGTTATGGTTTCTTCCAATGACGTTTAACAGGATCATCGTCATTTCCCCTCTGAACTTTAGCTGTTTGTGTTGAAGACTTTAAGACTTTTTGCTTTTGTTTGACTTTTGATTGGCTGTCATCCATGTTTTGGCCTAGTTAAAGGGGTCATATGATGCTGCTAAAAAGAACATTATTTTGTGTATTTGGTGTAATGAAATGTGTTTATGCGGTTTAAAGTTCAAAAAACACATTATTTTCCACATACTGTACATTATTGTTCCTCCTCTATGCCCCGCCTTTTTGAAACGCGTCGATTTTTACAAAAC